TGACTGACTGACTGACTGACTGACTGACTGACTGACACAGAGAGAGAGAAAGAGAAAAAAAGGAAGAAATAAATAAAGAAAAAAGAAAGAAAAAGAGTGAGAGAGATGAAAGAAAACATATGGCCCGCAAGCCACTCCCACCAGGTCACATGGCCGGCAAGCCACTCCCACAAAGGAGGCCACACACAGAGAGTAGGTTCCAAAATTTTTTGAAACCCACCACTGCTGATACTGATGGAGAAATGACAGTTTTGACAATAGTGTAGAGTTTCTCAACTTTGTCTACTTTCAAACCTGTGGATTTCAGTTCCCAGAGTTCCCCAGTCAACCTAGATGGCTGGAGAATTCTGGGTGCTGAAATCCTCACACCTTAAAGTTGCTACAGTTAAGAAGCACAGGCACATTGCGTAAATCTATGGAGAAGCGGCAGAAAGAAATAATAGCAAGAAGGAAAGACTAGAAGGGTATCTGAGTTGCGTTCAATATCCAAATACCTAATAAAGGTTTGCCTGAAAAGATTAATAGAGCAATGCAGGAATGGGTTTAATATTTGTGTGCTAAAGTAGCCTAGAACAATTAGCATATACTTGAATAACTTGACTTCTATTTTTTTCATAAATATCACAAAGCTTCTAAATCCATTTCAAATCCTGAAATTCTTCTGTGATGTCCTCAGAAAACCATAACGTATTTAAAATGGTTCACAGAAAGGTATAACCCAAACATTCCCTTTTCCCCCCCTTTCCTACAGAAAATGACACACCATGCACAATCACATCAAATTCTTTCTTGATTTCTCCCGCCTTGTTGGTCGCTATACATTGATAGTGGCCTGCATCAGATATTTCAGCCCTAGAGATGAAAAACTTGCGTCCATTGAGCAAAAATTTATATCCAACTCCTCCTTCAATAGGTTGGCCGTTTTTGAACCACCTGATGGGAGAAAAGCAGATGTTCAAAATGTTTATTTTGTATAAAGAAGAGATTGTGAGGCATAAATGAGAATGTTTACAGTTCCAGGTGTCAAGATTAGGGTTACAGTTCCAGGATTGAGAGATAGGATTGCCATCTAGTAAACGATGCTGATTTATGGGTGTTGCCATAATCCCCGTGACCCGACAAATACGCGCACGTCAAAAGCGCGACGACAAAACTGCGGTGAGAAAGCCGTGACGTTGAAATCGTGCCCACAACAGCGCGCCGACAAAAGCGCACCGACAGAAGCGCGATTAGGTTAAGGTAAGGGTTAAGGTAAGGTTCAGGGTTAGGGTTAGGGTTATTAGCTTGTTTTCGCATTA